CTCTCACTTGTGGTTCAGACTTGATCTTAGGCCCTGTCTGGCTATGGTGCACTGCCACCCCTGACCCAAAGAGAGGCCCCCATTCATACCAGCACCACTGAGACGAAATCTTTATTCTTTTTTTTTAAATAATTTTATTTATTTACTTAGTTTATTTTTGACTGTGCTGGGTATTCTCTGCTGTTCAGGCTTCTGTTTTCTCTAACTGTGGCTAGTAGGAGCTACTCTCTAGTTGCGGTGTGTGGACTTCTCACTGTGGTGGCTTCTCTTGTTGCAGGGCAGGTGCTAGAGCACCTTCGGGCCTCAGTGGCTGTGGCATGTGGGCGCAGTGATTGTGGCTCCCAGACTCAGGCTCCCAGAACAGACTCAGTGGTTGTGGTGCAGGGGCATGGTTGCTCCACAGCACGTGGGAAATTCTCACATCAGGGATTGAACCCCTGTCTTCCACGCGGGCAAGCGGATTCCCTACCACTGAGCCATCAAGGAAATCCCGAGATCCTTTATTCTTTCCTAAGACTAGGGCTTTGCAGAGCACCAAGCACAGCTCACCAGAATCCCCGGGCCAGAGTGCCCTACGTGTGAGTGTGCGTGTGGTGTTAGCCTGCTTGATTCCTGTAGCAGCATGGATTTACACTGCAGGAGCCAGGCCAATCCTGTACTTTTCCCGATCATAAACTGAGATGTACAGCCTCAGGAAGACGTTACCCAGGACCCAGGTCTCTGCCTCATTCTCATGCTGTTTGCCATTCCGAAAGGTGCTGTAGCAGAGGCCCTCAGAATTCTGGGGGAGAGGGAAATGAACACCAGTCAGTCTGAGCCCCTACCTGCCTCCCCCAATCAAGATCCAGAGCTGGAGGCTTCTTGGATTCATATCCCTCCTTTGATAAGAATCAAGTGGGTGTCTTAGCCGCTGCACGTGTTGAGGTTCACCCAAGAACAAGAAAGGCCAAGACCTGTGGTTTCTATGAAGCTTGGGGGTGAGGGAGGGGAGAATTGGGCATTTGAAATTATCGAATGCAAACTGATATAGGGAGGATGGATAAACAACCGAGTCCTGCTGTATAGCACAGGGAACTATATTCAATATCCCATGAGAAACTATAATGGAAAAAATATAAAAAATACATAAATGTATATCTGTAACCGCCTCTTTGCCGTACAGCAGAATTTAGCACATTGTAAATGAACAATACTTCAATGAATTTAAAAAAAAGAATAATAATGGCCCAAAGTTCCCTCACACTCTGCTGTTCCTTTCCTTCTGACCTCTGCTGACTCTTTTCTCTGCAGAGAATGCCTTTTCTTCTCCCTGTTCCCCACAACCCTTGTCTTTAAGACTTCACTCAGGCTCTCTAGGAAGTCTTCTTGGACACACCCTCACCCTCCCTGACCACTCCAGGCTGGGTTGGGTGATTTACCCTGATGCTCCCCAAGTCTGTAGCCCTCATCACCACTAATCTGCCCCCGGTGCCCCTTTGCACAGGCCTGGGGGGTGCCATTTGCATGGAATCCGGTATAGATTTGCCCCAACCCAAGCAGGCTTCCTCATTCCTCCATGAAGCTGAGGGTTTAGAATTACTGAAGCTTCCTTTCTTCCTCAAAGCCTTCTTTGAGCCCATCAGCCTGCTCTGAACTCCCACAGGGAGATGACATGAAGCCTCCACCCTGTGCCGGAGCTGAGCAGTCACTGTGTAGCCTATATTCACTTTAACAAACCACCTCCCCACAGAGGGGCTGGTACCCCAACTCACCAAGGGGGCGCTGAGGCTTAGCAAGGGGAAGTTGCACCTGAGGACTAGGGTTACCATGTAATATATCATCCCAACCTGGACACTTTCAAGATGGGAAGGGAAACTATTAACCCCTATGGTGGCACAGCACACTGGGACTGTCCCCAGCCAATCTTCTTGTTACTTGGTATGTTTCAGGGATTGTTAGAGCTGACTTTCTGTGTTCATGCATCTGAGGTCTCTGGTTGAACTGAAACTGAGGCCCTTAGTGTTCCCCTCTCCTTGTGACTCCCACCAAGACAGCACGGAGTGGTGTCTCCACATTTATTTCAGGAGGATGGATGTCCCAGACTGCCTTTCACTCTCAAGTGGTTGGTTTTGTGGGAGGCACTGGCCCAGCCACCGGAGCTCAGCAGCATCTGCAATGGTTTGACTTGGCCTGCAGAGGGCGCATCTTCTCAGCCACAGCCCAAGAGTTCCTGCAAGTCCCAGATTTGAGAACTAGCTCTCAGGATTGACCCCTCACCTCATGAATGTAGGCTTGAGCGGGCACTGGGTAGTCGATGCCCTTGATGGTGAAGATGAGAGGAGGCAGGGTGCTGGTGGTGTTACATGGAACCGTGTACTGTTAGAGAAAGAGGGAGAGAGGTCAGCTCAGCTGATCCTTGTTGTTTGGGGAGCCTGGGGGCAACCCTGTGGTATGACCCTTCACCTGCAGACTTTCAAAGGGCCTGAAGTGGATAAGCCTGTGGATTTTGGCTATGTGTCTACTTGGGTCGAGCAGGAATGTAGTCCCAGTATCCAAAATAGCCTGGCAGCCGCGTTTACAAGCAATTACCTTCCCGTTTATGGAGATGCTGAGAGAAAGTGGGACAAAGCGGACACCACAGTCACTCTGAAGTCTCCCCCACGACTGCCCCCTCCCTGACCGTCTCCTGAACAGCCCTTCAGCTCTTGCCCTTGGCTGTTTTCCTTTGCTCTGGTCATGTCCCCTACTTTGACTTCCTTTCAGTTCTTGAATGCACCAGTCTCTTTCAGGTCTCAGGGCTTTGGCACCTGTTGGTTGCCCTTCCTAGAAGACCCCCAACCCATTTGTCTAGCTAATTTCTCCACATCTTCCAGGTTCCTTCTTAATTGTCACTTTGTCAGGAAAGTCTTCACTCTAGACTAGATCAGGCCCCTGTCCTGCTCAGTCTCTGTAGACACTGCCTCGTGTCTAGCATGTGCCAAAGCGGTAATTCACTGTGTGTGTGACTCGTTTCATGTGCATCTGCCTCACTAGATGTGAGGGCAAGTTGTATCCTCAGTGCCTCCCCCAAGTGCCCAGCACACAAGGGATGCAAGTATATGTTTGTTGAATGAATGAATGAAGAACACCCAGAGACCTATATCTGGTGTCTGACCAATCAACAGTGGGTCAACCCACACGTGACCCAGATTTTTGGAGTGGTGGTGGGGGAGACACAAGCTGCCGTGGGAGAGGATGTCTCCCAGCACCAGCCCCTCATCCGGCTCAGACATTAAGGCCCCAGCCAGGGGATGCTCAAGCTAACCCAGAGGGCTCCAAAGGACAGGAAAGCTTTTGTCTGAGGGTATCACACAGAATGCCATCAATTACTGCCCCTTGTTCTCAGGCCACTCCTGGATCCCAGCTCCCTGATTCTCTCTGAAACAACCCCTGCCCCACTGTGTGTCCTAGAAAGTAGGTAGGTATCTATGGATAGAGGGAGTGTCTCTTTGTAAGAGATGCTCTCAGGTCTCAAGACTGCAGCCAACCTCTCTCCACTGCTAGGTAGCTTCTGTCTATGCAGACAAGTTTTCCTTGTTTGTCCAGGACTTTCCCTATTTTTAAACTTGCAGTCCTGTGTATTAGGAACCTTCTCGATCCCGGGCAGCCCCAGACAGTTGGTCATCTGAACATAACCCTGTTCAGGCTGGTGAAATTCTCCCTGATCCTCTTTTCAACACACAGTCAGGTCCTCTAACCATGCTGCCCACCTCGCAGTGAGGTGGGTGCAGCCTTTCCCAAGCTGCACAGGCCTCTCTGGACCCTTTCAGGACCCTGGCTACAGGGCCGGTCAGGAGGCCTAGGGTGATTATGGTCCCTTGGGTGGTGTGTGTATGTCTTCCTGTGTGTGTGCCTGTGTGTCTCTGTGCTTGAGTCTGGCCATGTGTGTGTATATCTGTGTGCCTGTGCATGTTTACATGTGTGTCTGTGAGGGTGTTTCTGTGTGTCCTGTGTGTGTTTATGTGTGTGTCTTTGTGGGTGGACATGTCTGTGTGTGAGACTGTGTGTCTGTGTTAAGTCAGTGTGTGTCTACATGTGTCAGTGCACACGTGTGGGAGCACTGCTAGAGAGGCCCTCGGAGGGTGAGGCTTACCGGCCCATGGTTATCTGCCAGTAGTGGGTTCGGGACACTGGTATCCAGTTGAGCTTTCCCGTGTGGAAGGAGTGGTCCACCCCAACAAACATACCACACTGCCATTCTCCCTCCGGCTGTTGAGAGAAGTGAGAGAGGGGCTCGTTGGAGGAGAGTAACACCAGCGCGGTCTGAGGGCTGCGCTCCTCCACCCATCAGAGGCACCACAACGGTCCCCATTTTACAGATGTGGAGACTGAGGAACTGAGGGGTTGAGTACCTGACCCAGGTCTGTCACCCTCTAATCAGTGCCACAGAAGTGTTAAGCCTGGCCTGGCTCTGACCACCCAACCTTCTGAAGAGGCCTGATCCCCTCCCACAACCTGAGAGCTCAGAGATCCCCTCAGAGTACTCCATGCTAGAAGAGTCTGGCATCCACCTTGCCTAGCCTTTCATTGTTCAAAACTTCCAGGCCCAAGGGAACTTAGGGCATGGATCCAGGGTCACCCAGGTTTGGCGTCACTGGCCTATGACCTGTGCCAACCACGAGGCCCCACACTCTGCAGGCCCCAAGCTCTGTTACCCTCTCTTGAAATTCCTAACACTTGTTGAACAAGGGATCATGCATTTGCATTTTCAACTGGCTCCAGCAAACTGTGTAGCTGGTCCTGGGCTCCTGGTGCAATGTTAGTGAGAAAGGAAATATTCCCACCATTCCTCTCCTTCTTTCCATATCAAATCCACAGCAAATCCGGATGCCCTTCTTCCAACCCATACCCTGACATCTTCCATTGCTCTCCCCCTTTCCCCTACCGCTGAACCAAGCCATTGCCCTCAAGAGGTCTATAATTTTTCATGCAAGTTAAAGCATGTTTCAGCTGATTTGAAGAGGGTTTTTGTCATCTCAGACTTACCAGCTCAAGTAGAAGGCAAAGAGAGGGTAAGGAATAAGTCCAAGTTTCTTCAGGTTGTCAAAGAGTGGAGTGGTTCCTTGGATGGCAAGGCTGGGGAAGCCCAGCCCCAGGATGCCATCAAAAGGTGCATTTTGAAAAAAATGTTTGGATTGCTTCTGGCTCAGGGCAAAGGTCTGGTTGAAGTGGAGAAGGTTCCCAATCTGTGGGAGCAGAGAGTAACTTTGATGCTCAGTCGTGTCTGACTCTTTGTGACCCCATGGACTATATGGTCCATGGAATTCTCCAGGCCAGAATCCTGGAGTGGGTAGCCTTTCCCTTCTCTAGGTGATCTTCCCAACCCAGGGATCGAACCCAGGTCTCCCACATTGCAGGTGGATTCTTTACCAGCTGAGTCACAAGGGAAGCCTGGGAGACGAGAGTGTTCCCACATAAAGGACCTGAGGCCTGGCTGTGCCCTGCGTTGGCCTCAAAGAGTTAGATCAAGCTGGGAGAGGAATTCGGGTTCCATTTGTGTGGGGCTGTGGATTTTAACAACACCTACTTCCCCACAAACACCATCTCAGTGAATCAGATTGGCCTCATGCCTTCTGTATAGGTGGGGCAACCAAGACTCAGGACAGGACAGAATGGTTCCCCCTTGTGGACAAAATGAGTAGAAAGCAGGGTAGTCGTCTCTTCAATATTACTATGATCTGAGGACAGAAACAGACTGAATTCATTGCAGTGTATTGTGATTCTGCATCTGCCCCGAAGACAGAAGCCCATTATACAATGTCACTGGCAGGGTTCTTATGAAAATTCTGCCGGGAAACTAACTTTTGGGGATATATGTGCACACATGTGTGTTGGGGGGGGGGGTGGGCGTTGGGGAGTGTGGAATACTCAGACATTTTGGGGAAGGCACGCCATAGTTTTTATTAGACTCTCAAAGACCCTCGAGAGTGAGAACCCATTTATCAGGCCCCTCCCACATCTGTGGCCTCCTGCTTTCCCTGTCTGGATACCTGATGCTCTGGGCTCCCTCCAGGGTCCCAAGCAGTTTTATGCTCTCCCCAAATACCCCACATCTGTCTGAGTCCTGACTAGCCAGCCCAGCTCACCTGCTTAGCACGTGTGTGACCTTGGCAAGGCCTTTGTTCTTTGCACCTCAGTTCCCTCATCTATTTCATGAGTTAATCATAGTACCTGCTGTGTAGTGTTATTGTAGGATTAAACAAGTTTCTTGTCATTCAGTGGCTAAGTCATGTCTGACTCTTTGTGACCCCAGGAACTGCAGCACACAAAGCTTCCATGTCCTTCACTATTGCCCAGAGTTTGCTCAAACTCATGTCCTTTGAGTCAGAGATGCCATCCCACCTCTCATCTTCTGTCACCCCCTTCTCCACTTGCCCTCAATCTTTACCAGCATCAGGGTCTTTTCCAATAAGTTGGCTCATTGCAACAGGTGACCAGAGTATGGGGCTTTCATTAACACTTTCACTTTAAACAAGTTATTACCATGAAAATGCCTAGCACAGTCTGAGGATTTAGAAGTGGGTGTTTTTTCCCCCATCTCTCTCAGCTCATACCAAAAGGAACCTTGGGCTCCTCACGGGCAAAGAAGCTGCAAATCCACATGCCAAGCCACTCTCTGGGTTAGCCATGGGGAGTTTGTGTGTCAGCAGGGGTGTTGTCACCCCAAGGACAGAGTCCTTACAGCCATTAGGGGACTTTCAGAAGAACAGACCCTCCCAGCTGGTCCTGCATCTGTTTTGTAAGCAGCAGTTTCTCCCAGGGCCAGCAGCTGCTGGTTTCCACATTACCTGAATGACATCTTGGCCAAGGACTCCGTTTATCCTCCCAGAGGCATAGATGAGGTCAACAGGGTTGTCCAGGAGCTTGAAGGTGGTAGACTTGTGAGGGTTGAAGAGACTGTGTGTCACTGCAGACACAAGAGATGATTGTCCTTCAGGTGCCAAAGACGGAGAGCAGGGTGGGAGGGCAAGCACAGGATGTGGGGGTGGGGAGGGGGTACTCACAGCAGCTCGGACTGTGGCAGTGGGTGGAGGGCACCCACAGGTCAGAGGAGCCGGTGTCAAACATAACCGTGAACTCCTGAGGGGGCGTTCCAATGGCGATGCTGCCAACCTAGATGAGCTACAGGGGCCAGGAAGGGATGGTTAGGGCAGACCTGGCTGCCTGTCCACCCCCTTTCCACCCCCAATTCGAGTACTGCCTCCTGCTGGGTTTCCCAGGTCTCCTGAAATCACTTTCCAAGCACCCAACCTCACAGCCTCTACTCAGACTGGTGTCTTCATTTGAGAAGCTCTCCAGTCTCCCCTCTATGTCCAGCGTGGGCCCCTCCTTCTCCTAGATCACCCCAGGCCACTGACTCTAATCTCAGACCAGGTCTGATCAACAGCACTCAGGTGGCCCTTTATTTAGACATGTATTTACCCTCTCCCCATCTCTCAGGATGGCCTGTGCATTCTTGAAGAAGAGGTTAGACCTTTGGCAATAACCACACTATTAGATTTTTTTTTGGCCTCACATGCCATAGGGACTCAGTAACTTTTTACCAGTATCACTCTTGGATCTTCTGAGACTGAACTTGCTCTGCCTGGGGATTGATACTTGATTTGCAGCTGTCTTTATCTTTTGATGAGAGATGGCTCACCCTTCATCTGTAACTGAGTGGTTCACTTAGTTCAGAAAGAACAATCTCTCTCAAATTAATGACATCTTTGGCAGAGAAATGGATGTTTATCTACCCCCTGGTCATTGCTTGGTCCAGTCACCACAGACCAAGAGCTGAGGATGAGACTGCCTTCTTCTCTGGGAATGGGGTCCCTCTTCCCCAGTGTTTCCACCTCCTGCAGGAGCCGCAGCTGCAACATCTCACCTGGAACCTCCAAATGAACCCCAGTGCTAGGCCAGAACACAATGGGGCGCTGTGGAGCACCATCCTCCCAACACACTCACATCCTTGTAGTTTCTCAGGGGATGAAAAGTCGCCCTTGGGTCATGAGCAGAATTCTTGGACAGGCTGTAAGCTTCTTCCTCTGGGAAATTTTTCACCAAGTTTTTTTTTTTTTTTCCCAAGGGTTTCTTGCATGGTCTTCATCTTTGTTAGAGGGATTCTTTCCGCAAGCATGGGGAAGAGGAAACAATGAAAGGGCAGCAATCAGCCATATGTATTATAGTAGGACTACCATAGCTGGCATTGTTTTGGCACTGTGTACTTTTTAAAGCATTTTAATGAGGGTCATCTTATTATTAGAACACTGTGCAAAGACCATGGCAAAGACCTAGGTCTGACTACTGGTTCTGTTGTGTAATCTTGGATAAGCCATTGGACCATTTGGAGTCTCCATTTTCCTGTCAGTAAAAAGGTGGAATGTAATAATCAGTATCCCTCATATAGAATGTCTTGGGTATTAGGAGAGATGATGGATATAGTGCACCTGATATATAGGAAGTCTCAGCAATGACAGCCACTACCATTGCTGTGGTCATCCCACTGTATCTTTCTCAATGAAGCTCTGGGAGGGAGGTAGAAGGGGATTATCATCCTCTTTAAACAGGGGAAGAATTTGAAATGAAGCGAGTTGGAGACTTGACTGTGGTTACACTGTTAGAGCTAAAAGAGCAGAGAAATAGTACTACTGATCTTTCTTCTGGGCTCAAGCAGAAGAGAGGGTGAGAGAGAATGTCAGGAGACAGGGAATAAACTGGGGAAATTAAGAGGCTAGAGAAGCAAGAGAGAGTACAAATTGAAAAAGAAAAAAAAAAAACTGGGAGACTTTTGCATGCACTGAGATAGCCAAAGAGATGGAGAGATAAAAGAGAGAGATACAGTGATAAAGACACAGACCCATACACACAGAAGTGGAAAGAGAGCTGAGAGAAGACCTAGAAGCAAACGCAGGAGAAATGCAGCAGGACCACACCAACAGTTGCACAACTTGTGCACTGAACAATTCCAAGGAGTGTCATTTTCACTTAGGTCATGATGTGATTGGCACCCTTAGAGATGTGCAACCCTGCAAGCCTATTCCAAAATTTTGGGCCCTAAGGTGGTCATGGCAAGGTACTTATCAATAAGTGAAAATTGAAGTGTAAGGCTGCCAGGGAATGATTATTTTCTCTTCTAACCCTCACAGATGGTAGAAGAGAGGACAACAGGAAAAATCCCAGAAATACAGATGATGCCACTTATAGCCCCTGTACTTACATGACTACGCACTCTGAGAGGGCCACCAGACTGAGGAGCCCAAATCACTTCATGCTTTTTTCCTGGGTTCAAGTACTCACAGAACAGAGGGTTCTGAGCTTGCCATGGTGACAAGAGCTCCCAGTTATATATGCTCTTATCTGCCCCAATTGTCTGCTTGAGGCCACTGATCTGGTAAGATCTGGTAAGATCTGATAAGAAATACATACCTATTGATTAAAAGTTTACCTCTATCAGTGTCTTTTGGGAGTGGATTTAGAAAATTCTCAGAATACAGAGAATTTTACAGAGATTGTAGTCTCTTCCTTGCTGCTGCTAAGTCTCTTCAGTCGTGTCCGACTCTGTGCAACCCCACCAGGCTCCGCCGTCCCTGAGATTCTCCAGGCAAGAACACTGGAGTGGGTTTCCATTTCCTTCTCCAATGCATGAAAGTGAAAAGTGAAAGTGAAGTCGCTCAGTCGTGTCCGACTCTTCGTGACCCCATGGACTGCAGCCTACCAGGCTCCTCCGTCCATTGCCATTGCCTTCTCCGATCTCTTCCTTGGGGCTTGGCCAAAAAACAAACTGAAGTGCACAGACTATCTAAGGGTGGGGAGACTCTTTCCAACTTGGAGAAAAAACACTGCTATTAACATGATAAGAGTAAATGCTGGGGGTCATGCTAGACATTCATGACCTCATGAGGTCACAAGATGTGCCCGGCCTTCCAAGCAACTTCACAAGATGTGCATGGCTCTCCTAGTTGGGGAGGAGGTTGTTAGAAGAAAAAGAGTTCAAATGGCAAAGTGAAGAATTTAGGGGCAGCCCAGTGACATATGAGTGACTTCAGGTATTGGGACAGATGGCATACATCAAGGGCACCTTTGATGCCAGTCTGTGTCAAAGGTCTAGACTAGAGCAGTATTACAGTTACAGAGTTTGAGTATTGGAAGAAATGTGATGTAGGCATCCACAAGATACTTTATATCAGCCAACAAACGTGAAAAGAGAACACTGTGTGCTGGAGTCTGGGTTCACTTCAGTTCAGTTCAATTCCTCAGTTGTGTCCGACTCTTTGCGACCCCATCAACCACAGCATGCCAGGCCTCCCTGTCCATCACCAACTCCCGGAGCCGACCCAAACCCATGTCCATCAAGTCAATGATGCTATCCAATCATCTCATCCTCCGTCGTCCCCTTCTCCTCCTGCCCTCAATCCTTCCCAGCATCAGGGTCTTTTCAAATGAGTCAGCTCTTCACATCAGGTGGCCAAAGTCCTGGAGTTTCAGCTTCAGCATCAGTCCTTCCAATGAACACTCAGGATTGATCTCCTTCAGGATGGACTGGTTGGATCTCCTTGCCGTCCAAGGGACTCTCAAGAGTCTTCTCCAATACCACAGTTCAAAAGCATCAATTCTTCAGTGCTCAGCTTTCTTTATAGTCCAACTCTCACATCCATACATGGCCACTGAAAAAACCATAGCCTTGACTAGATGGACTTTTGTTGGCAAAGTAATGTCTCTGCTTTTTAATATGCTGTCTAGGTTGGTCATAACTTTCCTTCCAAGGAATAAGCGTCTTTTAATTTCATTGCTGCAATCACCATTGGCAATGATTTTAGAGCCCAGAAAAATAAAGTCAGCCACTGTTTCCACTGTTTCCCCATCTATTTGCATGAAGTGATGGGACTGGATGCCATGATCTTAGTTTTCTGAATGTTGAGCTTTAACCCAACTTTTTCACTCTCCTCTTTCACTTTCATCAAGAGGCTCTTTAGTTCTTCTTCACTTCCTGCACATCATCTGCATATGATGGGTGGTATCATCTGCATATCTGAGGCTATTGATATTTCTCCCGGCAATCTTGATTCCAGCTTGTGCTTCCTCCAGCCCAGCGTTTCTCATGATGTATTCTGCATATAAGTTAAATAAGCAGGGTGACAACATACAGCCTTGACTTACTCATTTTCCTATTTGGAACCAGTCTGTTGTTCCATGCCCAGTTCTAACTGTTGCTTCCTGACCTGCATACATGTTTCTCAAGAGGCAGGTCGAGTGGTCTGGTATGCCCATCTCTTTCAGAACTTCCCACAGTTTATTGTGATCCACACAGTTAAAGGCTTTGGCATAGTCAATAAAGCAGAAATAGATGTTTTTCTGGAACTCTCTTGTTTTTTTTGATGATCCAACAGATGTTGGCAATTTGATCCCTGGATCCTCTGCCTTTTCTGAAACCAGCTTGAACATCTCGAAGTTCACTGTTCACATATTGCTGAAGCCTGGCTTGGAGAATTTTAAGCATTACTTTAATAGTGTGTGAGATGAGTGCAATTGTGCAGTAGTTTGAGCATTCTTTGATATTGCCTTTCTTTGGGATTGGAATGAAAACTGACCTTTTCCAGTTCTGTGGCCACTGCTGAGTTTTCCAAATTTGCTGGCATATTGAGTGCAGCACTTTGACAGCATCATCTTTCAGGATTTGAAATAGCTCAACTGGAATTCCATCACCTCCACTAGCTTTGTTCATAGTGATGCTTCCTAAGGCCCACTTGACTTCACACTCCAGGATGTCTGGCTCTAGGTGAATGATCACACCGTGATTATCTGGGTAGTGAAGACCTTTTTTGTACAGTTCTTCTGTGTATTCTTGCCACTTCTTCCTAATATCTTCTGCTTCTGTTAGGTCCATGCCATTTCTGTCCTTTATTGAGCCCACCTTTGCATGAAATATTCCCTTGGTATCTCTAATTTTCTTGAAGAGATCTCTAGTCTTTCCCATTCTATTGTTTTCCTCTATTTCTTTGCATTGATCGCTGAGGAAGGCTCTCTTATCTCTTCTTACTATTCTTTGGAACTCTGCGTTCAATTGGGTATATCTTTCCTTTTCTCCTTTGCTTTTCACTTCCCTTCCTTTCACAGCTATTTGTAAGTCCTCC